CACCACATGGCAAGCGGAGGTTCTGGGTTCAAGCCCTGTCCCAGGCCAGTTCTTTTATTCCAGAAGGTTCTAAATTTATTTAATAATTTATTTATTTAATTATAATTATCAATTTACTTAAGAGATGGCGCCTAACGTCTACCTCTAGTTTCAAATTACTTTATACCAATCATTTAATTACCCTTATTATAGCTCAATATTTAGGCAATCATTTGGTGATTTATTGTATACTACTCGGGCTTTGAAATGTTTTTTCAATTTTGTTTCAACAATAATTAATTATGTTCCCTTTTCACTTGTTCAAGGCTAACATTTTTCAAATTAATAAAATTTGAAAAACAAAACTTAATAACAAAAATATGTAAACACATATTGTGACACACACACACACCCCTTGCTGACTTTTTCAGCAGACCATTGTACAAGTTACAAACATTTTTGACTTTTTTGTGAAGGTATGTATATCACAATAGCTACTTTGGTTCCAGTATCAATAACTCATTTAGTAAACAGAGTTGCTGTGATCCAAATGGCACAGATAGCAAAGACTAACTGAAATGAAAATTTATAGGAATTACAGTGCACTGTACTCATTCCCTAAGTAGACAATGAAAGTTTGATTTGAAGAGAAAATTTCAACAAAAATTTGAGTAGTTAAAGTGAGACCAGATAGGAGGGAGTGTACTATATATAAAATTGAATATTTTTAATAAAAATGTATTAATTATCTTACTGATAAATTTGTTACTTTTGTTGTTAAGTTTGTTTTTTATTTTCATACATATAAATACATGATTTCGTAAATTTATAGGTGGTAGCTTTAGAAGATAAATTAGAAAAACTGGATGATTCTGAAATAAAACCTTTAGTTGATGAAAGAGAGATAGATGTTTCACTAAAGAAAAATGATTCCATAGAAGAGAGAAAGGATATAGGTAAGAAATATTTTAATTTTATGAATTTAAATTATAGTTGTATTTACTTTTTTTGTTGTATTAATTAAGATGATGTACAATAATATGATATATACAACAAAACTTCAATATAGTGCAATCCTAAATAGTACCATTTTCTTAAAGTGTCAATGAATACTTTTGAATGGATCTTTCCCATAAATATTAAGTAGACAATGTTACATACTGTGAAATATTAAATGTACAGTTTTTGCAATTAGTATCACTGTTATCATCAAATCATGACTTACAAACTCTCAAACTCAAATTTGAATGTTAACTTTCTTATTATATTGTAGTAATAAGTGTAAAATGAGAGTTACAAAGATACATTATTAAATAATAATACAGTAGAGCATCGTTTATCCGAAAGCCAGTTATCCGAAACGTCGGTTATCCGAAAGCATTCCAGTCAGCAAATTTAAATTTTCGCTAGTGCTGTGGCGCTGCAATCTTTGGCTACGTCTTGGGCTAATCCAATATTATTTTTTGTTTGTGTACGTGTTTTAGCTGGCAGCACTATCACTTTTGTGTGGTGTTTTTCTGAGGACTGTGTGTCATGCTGAATCGAACGTTTTTAATACTATATTAACTTCTAAAGTATAATTTTTTTTGTTTTTATATTTTTTAATATATTTATTTTGTTTGTAAAAAATAAAAAAATAACTTTTAACGATACAATAGCCACGATTATTATTTTAAAAAGTTTATGTTAGGCTTAACATCGACGAAAATTTAACACGAAGCGACACGCAATGGAAAAATATTTCAACATGGGATAGGTTAATATATTTTTTCGTACATAATTGGTTATCCGAAAAATAAGTTATTCGAACAACCTCAGTCCCCAATTGATTCGGATAAACGACGCTCTACTGTATCTTTATTTCACATAAAGTATAACAGTTCTTTGGAATACCAGCTCTTCTCAGTCCCAGTATACAAGTTGAGAGAATGAGCAGTTATTAACACTACTCTCATGACACCAATAATTATCAAATGTTTCTACAACAAATATAAAACGAACTATAACTAAACGCTTACAGCTAACAACTAACTAAATCTAAGGAAGGACGAAATCAGTAGACGGAAAAGGACAATAGAAGTAAGGATTGGTGAAAGTAGGTATTCAATTGTTGATGGGTGATTTTAGGAGTGATAAAAATTCCAAATCATTTCCTTTCTTGGGGGTGATGGATAAATTCTGGTTTTCATCAAATTCACTTCGATGGTAGTTGGGAGTCTCTATAATTTCTCTTTACTGAATTTGCCTTGATTCTTGCTTAGGCCTCCTTCCATCTCTATTCACTGCCAAAAATGAACTAGAGAGCATTTTTTTTACGTCCAATCTGTTTGACATCCCAGCAAAGAATGAACATTGTTCCCTCAACTTAGCCCTCAGGGCTTCCTTCATCTCTTTTGTTCAAAAGATTAGTCACCACCATCCAAGAAGAAAGTGTTGAGAAAGAATTTTCTGGAAGGGACAAACAATAGAAGAAGGAAAATAGAGGGGAAACTATACAAAAATTAAAGTAAAACCTATATAAAATATGGCATACAGCCACAATATATAGTTCTTATTGTTTTAAACTATTTAGTTTAGTGCAACACTTGATTTAATGTTAGTTTTAGAAATGAAAAAATGGTAGAGCCAAATCAAAGTTTGAATGCATTATATGTGTGTAAGATAGTAAATTTTATTGTATAAAACTCATACTCAAATAAGTATATATTTTTTGTAAACTTGAAAACTAAATGCAATAGTGAGTTACAGACTCAGCATCAATAAAATCCAGCACAAATTTTAATAAATAACAAATGTTTTATACTACATTTAGCAGTCATCATCAGGTTCTTAAGCATTCAAATGGAACCACAATTCAAATGCAATAATTTTAAAAAATTAAAATAGAAATCTGGTTGTCTTTTCATCGTTGGTGCTTTTCATGAAGTAAAAATTATTTACAAGATTTCAAAGTTTGATTTCCATACTAACAGTAAAGTGTCATTGTCTTATGGAGGTGTTTTTTCTATTGGCCTTATAGATTTCTAGTTTTTGTAAAGTTTTGAGATGTGTTTTTTCTCTAATATGATGTATAATATGGGTTATCAAAATGCACCTGTACCAAGTTGTCCAAAGTGAAAGCAGATAAGGTTGTGTCAGTCTGCCTTTTGTATGGATAATTCTTTATGTAATTCAAAATGTATATTCAAAGACCAACTGGTTGCTTAATAAATAGCATTATATATAGTTATATACTGGATATGGTATGCTTGTTTTGCTGTGTTAGGAATAAGAAATATAGGGATACCAGCTATCAGAAGCATAATAAGAAAATTAAAACTTTGATTTTTTATTAAATTAATTTTCACAGCATGAAAATTAAAATATCATACTGCTTGTTTAATGAAAAAAGATAGGTGAAATTATATATAATATATGTAATATGCTATATACCTTGGACTTTAGAAGATATGAAGATGGTAGTGATATATTGTAGTCACAGAACTTTAAAAACACTGAAAATAAGCACACTTTGGATGCCACTAAGTTAATAAAAATTTTAATCACATTAAACGATTTATTCTTTATTATAAATATTAAATATAATGTTTTTTTTTACATAGCGTGTGATGGTAGTACCAAAAAAACAAGCTTTTTTGATGGGTAAGTTATTTTATTTTAACATTAATGAAGAATGTTGTTGATAACTTTAAATTTGCATTTCTTATTTTTTTCTTACCTTAGGATGCTTCGTTATTTTGATCCATTTAAACAATTTTTTAATAATCTGTTATTTCCTTCATGTCGAGTAACAGTTGATGTGTATGCTTATATGTTTTTTTGTGATTTCATAAACTTTTTTATCGTCGTTTTTGGATATTGGGCATTTGGAGTAAGTAGTTTGATCTTAAATATTAAATTAAAATATTAATTTTTATATTGTATTATTTACTTCAATTATTTTTATTTCAGGCTGGAATTAATAAAGGAGTAACTTCTTATTTTGAAGAAAATAATGTAAGATGATGATGATGAATTGAAGAATAAAATAATTGATGTAGTTCAAAAATATTAATTTTTTAACAAATTATTTTTTAACAGGTTCCAGTTTCATTTCTAATAATGCTGTTAGCACAATTTGGTTTAATTGTCGTAGACAGAGCATTATATCTTAGGAAGCATATTTTAGGAAAATTGATCTTCCAAATTTTTCTAGTTTTTCTTGTTCATTTCTGGATGTTCTTTATATTACCTGCTGTCACAGATAAGTAAGTAGGAACTTTTTAGTCTTTTCAATTTAATGAGTCATATTTTCATTTGGTATAAAACTAATATACATGTCTTCTATTTCACTTTTAATAATATACTTTACTTCATACAGCTTAAATTTAATAGCAAAATTTACTATAAGTATTTTGCCAAATATCAGCTGAATTGTTTTATTGTAGTTTCATTGAATTTTTCTTTTATTTCTAATATCTATTTAATAAATTTTTCTAAGAATTTAAAAATTCTTAGAAAAACTAATTTAAATGTTATAACATTAATGTTATAATTTAAATGTTATAACATTAAATTAATTAGAAAACTTTGAATCTGTGATAAAGATTTATTGTAGCTGGATGGATAAAATCCAGCTACAATAAATATACAATTTTTTATGCTTAAACAATACTTACTGTTATTGAATATAACAAGAATTGTTTAAGCATAAAAAATAGTTTGTGTAAAATATATTTAATTTACTTAAGTAATCACAACTAATGGTATACAAGATTAAAACAAATTTATTAAACATTTTTGGAAACTTTTACACATCCATATTGTCCATTTTGCAAGAACAACAAATGAAAAAATGTAAGAACAAGTTTTAAATATAGTAACTAACTGTTTGAGAAACTGAATTATTTACTTTAATCACAGATTTACTAGTAATAAAAATTGCAATAACTCTCTTACTCTGTACCAATCTATTATCTATTATTTATCTTTAATCTGTCTGTTATCAGGTAATTATGATTAATTTTACAAGTTTATAACACAAAATGTTAATTAAAAAATTGTTACAATGAATTTTCATATATAATATTAATTACAGTCGACCCCCCCCATAACAAGGTAGATACGTTCCGGTTTTTATGAATCCATTTTCTATGAGTCCAGCCAATTACAGTTTACGGACTATGGCTGTTTGAAAGGTTTCTTCCGTAAAATTGATCAATTCTAGACTAATTCGACTCAACATTTCCAAAATACGTATAATTTTTTGGGAATAATCCATATAACTATGCTATAAACAAAAATTGTAGGATTACTTACCGAGTGTGCACCATTCGACATCGCCATTGCTTAAGCTTGTTTTTATCGTGGAGCTTGTCATCGAATGACGCTTGTGTGCTTCCTGATAAATTATTTTTTTGCGAAAAATTTGCTGAACTTTGGAGACATCATTAATATAAATGTGGGTAGCCTGAGGTAGGACGAGGTCGTACCTCTTTTTGATAGGCAACAGTTCGGTGAGAACTGCCCACTGGTCAGTGGATGGCTAGTTTATGGGTTTTTTATCCCGTATAGTCAGGATTCTTATTGTCGGGTCGAGTGGAGGAAGTGAGAGGGATCGTCGGTAAAGTGTGAGCAATACTCGAAATAAAGACGACTTTTAAAAACAAAACAACATTTATTGAGATGATAACATAACTAACATAAATACATTGAGCTTATCTCGAGCGGACACGCGGGAGTAGAGGGAAACGCGCCGAGAGAGAGTTTACATTAATGGGTATCATACCTCTACGATTTGGGATCGGACGGTCGGACGTTTTCTAACCGGATCAGACAAGTTGTCTTGAGGAACGACGGCAGCAATGAGGATCGGCACGGGTTTCGGCGATCCTGAACAGTGATGACGGACCGTGTTCTCGGACGGCGACAACGGACCCTTTTTCTCGTCATCGCCTCTCTTTTATCCTCTTCGTCACGTTACTCAGTTTCGTCAATCGCCGATTTTTAGGATAAGTTCCCTGTGAATCATTTTTCGGTTTCCTGAGAGATAGGAAACGGCTCCGTGGGAAGGAAATGTATATATCCTTTATTCGTAAAATTTCAAAAAATGAAGTTTTTCTTTGTTTAACTTTAATAAAGATATTTAATTTAATTTGAGCTTCTTTATTTAATTTTATTTTATTCGGTTTGACCCTCACATAAATATAATTATTATGGACGTTAAATAATAAATGGTTCTTAGTAGGTTCGCTGCTTGTTTAAACTCAACGGTTTGTACAATATNTTGTCTGATGCAGAAGAATCAGTTCTACTTCATTTGGATGACATAGTAGAGCAGGGGTCGCCAAACTTTTTTAACCGTCGACCCCCAACCACTTTCTAAAACCTCACATTGACCCCCACCATAAAGTTTTATTACAAGTGTAAGTGTATAAGCAAAAAAAAAAAAAAAAGATGTTAACCCATTGCCACATTGACCCCCAGGGGTCAATATAGACCACTTTGGCGATTGCTGTAGTAGAGTCTCTCGAGTCTCTGAAGATATAACAAACATAGAAATAAATAACACAAAATAAATTGTAGCTATATGTTGATTTTGCGCGACATGTTTGAACATGTAAGCTGAACAATAGTGTGGGGGGAGTAAGTAATCAAGAGTTGCGTGGCGCTCAAACAAAAGACGAATTGACAAGATTTGAAAATTGCATAAGTCGGGGTATTACTGTATACAAGTTTTTTTTAGCATGTTTGTACAAATACTGTCACAATTTTTTTGCTGTGATATAGGAATCCGAACTATAGGAACCCATGTTATAGGGGAGTGACTGTAATTGATAATATATTTTATAGTTTTTATAGTCTATGAAATGTTTTAATGTGATATAATAAATCTTTATTAATTGCTTATAATTAATAAAATAATGCATTCCTAAAAATTTACTTTTTAGTCAGGAGAAAAAATTATTGAAATTTATTGTTAGTATAAAAATTTGTGGTTGACCAACAAGGACCCAAAGAAAATTTTTTTATGTAATAACAGTTATGGTTCCAAATTCATATTTAGCAATGTGTTAAGAAATATGTTTTTTTCATTAACTTTGATTTTTATTATTTATATTATTAATGATATACATTTGAATTTTGTTATTGTGTAATAATTAGTAATAATTATTGTTTAATGTTTACAGACCATTTACAAGTAAGAAATACTTGCCACCAAAATTATGGTATTTTGTAAAATGTGTTTATTTGCTTTTGTCTGCCTATCAAATACGTTCTGGATATCCGACGCGTATTTTAGGAAATTACTTTTGTAAAAAATACAACTATATTAACTTGTTTTTATTTAAAGGGTAAATTTGCTTATTTTCATTTATATATTATCTTTTCTAAATATATTTTCTATATTACATGTTTTTTGTTTAGATATATGGCAATTCCATTTTTGTATGAATTACGTTCTTTAATGGATTGGATCTGGACAGATACTAGCATGAATGTTGGAAATTGGTTAAAAATGGAAGATATATTTGCTCATGTTTTTGTCTTAAAATGCCAAAGACGTGCTGAAGATGAATATCCAACTCCAAGAGGGGCAAAACGATCGCCTGTGATAAAATATGGTGTTGGTGGATCTATTTTACTGATAATCATTTTAATTATTTGGTTTCCATTACTTCTATTTGCATTAGGAAATTCTGTAGGTCAGTCATTTAAACCTTATGATTGCACAATTGAACTAGCTATTAGTGGCTATGAACCTATATTCAAAGTCAGTGCTCAACAGAATGCATTACAGACTTTGACACCAGATCAATGGCAAAATATGGTATATCATTTTCAAGCTAATCCTTCTATAATGTCATTTTTAGCAAATTATGATATGAACGATGTTATAATGGTTGAGCTAAACAGTAATTCTACATCACTATGGGCAATCAGTCCACCTAGTCAGTCAGCATTGATAAAGGAGTTACAGAATGAAACAGATATTCTAAAAATGAAGATATCTTGGTCATTTTCACGTGCATTAAATGTATCCAGTGATATGGATAAAACGGTTGGAAATGAATATGAAATTCTTCTACAAGACAAAAAAACAAGATCAGCATTAGCCTCAATGTTGAATGGAACAGAACAGAGTGCTCCAATTATAATACACAGAATTTTTCCAAAATTTTTGAGAGTTTATGGAAAAGGAAAAGTTCTTCCAATCAGAGAGTTTGCTGATGCTGGTAAGTACTTTTATTCATAATTTTTATAAATAAATACATATGTTTCCAATATAAAATTGATAATTATTATCTTTTACAAAGATTTGTAAATTATTTGAATTTTCTTTCTTTGGTATTTTAAAAATTGAAATATTATTCATCTGTAAAAACTCTTTTACAAAATTAAAAGAAATATATTAGAAGGTACTTTTATCTATCATAAAAGAACTTTAATTTGTTCAAAACATTCAAATTCAAATTTTAAAGTTATACAGGAAATTCTCGTTAGTTCAAAATTTGTGAGACAAAATGATTTGCAACTTCAAATTATTCAGTTTCAAGTTATCCAAGATTTACTATAACTGTAAACTATGCCAAATGCCATATAACTGATATAATTTATTAAGCAAATGAATATTGATATGTACAAAGACTGTTATTTTTGTTAATTAATAATAATATAAATGTGAAAGTAAACAGGTAAACAGCACTTGTCTGGTGAGAACCTCACAGGTTGCCAGATAGGTTTTATAAAAAATTAAAGTAGATTTCTTAAAATGTAGCTTTCTCATTCTCTCATTTTTAAAGTTGTCAAAAAAGTAGTAAGTCATCCAAAAGTAATAGCCTAGAACCCTATAAATATCTCAATCTGTTACTCATAGCCCAATCTTGCAATCCTGAAACCCAGCCATATTTTGAGGTAAGAGGAAAAAAGGGTAGTCCATGGGTAAGGTACCTGACACCTGAAAATGTGTTACAGTAAAGCAAAAGTCATATTGATCATATTAGAGTTGTTCTTTGTCTATTGTTCTCTTATAGTATGGAGGCAGTTAGATATAAATAACTTTAACATAAATTAGAATATAACTTTAACGTAATTTAAGAGTTAACATACGCATAACACAGTTTGGACAGAATTTTCACTTCGAATTATGAAGTAGCCGTATTTCAAACTAACCAAATTTCTTATCATGTAAATCTATATATCCTTGGCTGGGACAAAAGTACAGTTACAAAAAAATGGGATTTCAAACTATCCAAGTTCAAATTAACAAGAATTTCCTGTATCATCAAAATAAGAAACAATATGTAACTGGACAAATAGACAATTCAATATAAAAACTTTGTATAGTAATATGTAGTAGTAAATAGTAAAAGCATGTAGTAATATAGAACAAAACTAAATATTCAACTAACAACATAACTAAAAACTAAATGATAAATAAATAAATACAAAACTTAAAATTCAGGAGTACGTGACTTAGTCACAGGGATGTGCATGTACTATTAATGTTTATTATTAAAACACACATACGTTCATTTATAAAATCTCCAGAGTTTTTTGCAGACTTGACCAAAACAAAATCTTTGATGTACAGTAAGACCCCACTTAATGCTGCCTCGATTAACGCTGATTCGATATAACACTGTCTGATCAAAGCCTAAAAAATGCTCTAAATTTATGTTGATTTAAATTAACGCAGCATTTTATTGATTAGTATATAATACAATTATTCCCAAACACAAACCAATCAGCAAAAGGTGGCAATTTTTCTGCAAAAGGTGGCAATTCCCAAACACAAAAATCAGCAACAGTCATAACGCTGTACTTTCCTTAAATCTGTTTGTTTTGTGCAATTTTGGAAAAAATATAACATTATGGGTACCATAGGAAATATCAACTTCGCTTGGCAAGAATTAACTGATAAATGCATGAACGAAGTGTGGAAGAAGTTATGACTAAAGGTATCCAAGAATTCTCAATGAGGAGAGCCTATTGCTGTATTGTTAGGTTGACCAAATTGTCAACCTAATTGATACAGCAGGACTTGGAGATGCAGACGAGCAGGATATTGAGGAATTACTGCAGGTTTCTGGTGAGAGCCTTACCAATAACAACCTTTAAGAACTGGCAGAACAAGGAATTCATGTAGATCTAGAAAACAGTGATTCTGAAAATGAAGAACCCAAAGAACTTGCTACAGATTTCCTTAGTAAAAGTTTGGTAACGATAACCGAAATCGTTGATCAAATTGTAGCGAATGATCCAGATCAAAATCTGGATCATTCGCTACAATTTGAAAGGAGTGGAAAAGTGAGACGAGGTGTTTTGGATGCAATCTCTTGCTACCGACATTTGCTTAAGGAAAGAAAAAATGCAACAAATTAAACTACCGACTTTATGGCAAAAAACAAGAATTTCAGAAGTCAGGACCTTCATCACAAAAAATGAAGTTTAGATTTCTGTGTGCCTATGTTTGTGTGTTATTTAACATATATTATTATGCAAATTAATATAAAAATAACTTAAAATTATAGTAAAATTTGTTTATTTTTGGTCGTGTGTTCCACTTTTCCTATTTTACTCTATGTGAGGCCGGGACATCCCCCAAACAGAAAACTGGCTGTTGAATTAAAGCCAATAAATCGGTGACTTATTTCGTAAACAAGACCAGGGCAGTAAAGAAACAGATTGTGGGATGATTTAATTGTCGCCTTCCTGGATCAAATTGACATGTCCCAAGATCATAGATCATGGAAGGTGGGAGAGTTTGTTTATTTGTTAAGTTATGGCAATGCAACGGTTGGGCAATCTGCTTACAGAGAATGCCTTTCCAGGAGGTCTTTCTACGGATAAATGGCCCTATTCAGGCATTACTGGCATGGAGAAAACCCAGAAAACTCCACATGGCCAGCCCATCCTGGTGAGGTGCAAACTCATGACTGAACTCCCAGTGTTCAGAGAACGGAACCATGGGCTGGAAGGTGAGAGAGAGATCAACAACTGCCAGGGAGAGTTTGATGGTCATCTTACATAGAGTTCAAAGTGGGAATTTGCAGACCCTTTCTCAGAGAGGAGGCGGTTGGGACTAATTGGATCCAGCTGCATCTTCTCCCAGTCAGAAAAATGCATTAGACCAAAATTTACTGGACCGTCACTCAGGGAAAGGTGCAACTTGACTTCAGAGAGAAGCGGCCCAGACGGGGTGTTCAGCAACCTCACAGCCCAAATCACATTCCTGGCAACAGACCAGGGACCACCATTCAGACCAACCAAAAAACGGGATTTCAGGTAAAATCATATAAAAGCCCAAGTTCACAAGGACACGGGGACGTTGTGGGAAGTTGAGAACGAGAATGCCAGTTCCATAGACCCAGACCAGGAGTAAACAAAAGGACTTTCATCTCCAAACCCTAGGACGGAAGGGATCGGAGACCTGACTTACCCATGATGACTCTCCATCCCTCTAACTTCCAAGACTACACTGAAGACGAACTTACTTTGGAATTGCCAGAATGAACTCTCTTTGGACCCTTTATACCAGATTGCTGGAGACAAACTTTTCATCGAACAGACTGTCTTTGAGCCTCCAGATATGGTTGTAGTACCTCTATTTATATGTAAGCATGATTTTCTATACAAATAAATGTGTTAAGTTTGGAAATTTGGTCTATGTGTGAGTCTCTTTGCATCCTGCAACCACTATCTCATACATCAAAAGACTTCTTGCATCATCCTGGCAGATCATGGGTAAAGCAAAGGTCAATAGACCTTTCACTTAAGGCAAGACTCTAAGCGTGTGGTGTCGGGGCTTAAAACCTTACATCTATGTTAAAATGACCTCATTTAACGCTGTTTCACTTAGCACTTTGTCATTTAGGAATGCATCCTTGCATTAAGTGGGGTCTTACTGTATTTATAATTTGTGCATCATTCCCACAAGAAAGTTTTTGAATTGAAGCAAACACTAATAACATATAAAACACTGAACACCTTATAACGCTGAGATATATTTATTAAAACACAAACGTTTTCANTTGTTTTGGTTGCTATGCCTTGACTCTGGTGCGGCATAGTACACAGCCACCGGTGTGTACCGAGTATAACCCACTAAACCCAACACATAATAATGGTCATCAGTTTTATCACATTTACAGTAAGTACGTAAGATAAACCTTATTTTCTGCCATTATTAAAAAGATCTTAGATATTGAATGAAAGGAATAAGGGAGTGAATAAACTGAAGGATTTTGTTTATATGACAACCAGATGTTGCCTTTAGAAATAAATATTTTATAAAACTGGACAATGTTTGTTGTTTAGAATCATTCTATCCTCTGCATAACCTTCAGTCTTAGAAGGTGTGTGCGCTTCTTACAGTTTGTGCGATTTAGGACAATTTTTTTTATAAATCAAATAACAGGTATTTAACTTTATGCTTTATGTTTATCATTTGATTTTTTGGTGTTAATTTTTATCATTATTTATATTAACAATTAAATATGTAATATTATTCTTTACTGATAAAATATAGTAATCTTATTTATATAAGAACGTGATTTCTGAAAATTACTTAACATACATAACTTACATTCCACAGTCCATTGCACTTTTATTTTGAATTCTTTCTATTTTAGAATCTGAAGATAGCTGAAAACATTTATTTAACTTTGCTTTTAAAAGTTTTTCAAAAAGTATGAGGTTAACATAGTTAGTATTACATATATTAATATTTTAAAAAGTAAACAAATAAAACAAAATTTTAAACATTAAAATATTTATTTTAATTCAATTTATCAATACAATAATCATATAATTGTTTTGAAAACTTTAGTTTTCAAATTTCTGATAATCTGGTTTTTTAGTACAAAAAATGCCACATTAAAATTATGTTAATGGTTTATAAATTTAGATTAAAGGTGGAGTAGTGTTTTATTACTTCATGTGAATACAGGTAGATATGTTTCTTTCAGAAACTAATAAATTTGAACTAACTAAATTTTGATATGAATGAATAAACATCTGTCTGAGAATGGATTTAAACCAGCAATTCTAAAAGACAATTATTTTTAGATTATAAGTAAGCATTCTAAGATATAATAATAATTTTTTACTAGAATGTAATCATAATGGTTGTTTACTCTACAGACTGAAAGTGTTCAGTCTTTTGTAAGGTGCAATATAAAACAGTAAAGAAGATGGCACAATATATCAAACTGATCACCATTTTTAACTTTAGATTATTAAGCAAATATTTTATGAATTTTCACAGTACATTAAAAAGTTATTTCTGATGTATTGTTTAGTTTTAATCATTTTCATTATTAAAAAAGTCAATAACAAAATGCAAATTAACAAATTAATCTTTATTGAACTCATATATACTTTATTATACATTTTCATGGAAAAATGAAAAAGCACAAATTTATATTACAGAAGATTTTTGTGTTTATTAACCATTCATTATGATTCATTACATTTATACCACATGTTGTACAAAGGACTCTTATACACATTGAATAAATTGACACACTCATTTTTTGCATTCACACTTTATTCATAGCTTTTTATTTAGTGATACATTGCACTGATTACCTCCTTTTCTTTCTTTTTACTTGTTTAGTGTTATCCATTTTTTTCACTTGTTCTTGGTTTGTATTGCTTGTAATATGATACTAATTTCTAAGTGATAAAATTGGTCTTATGGGGTTTTATTACTTTTCTGGCTGTTATGTATACATGACAAGGGAAAGTATNCAATAATCATATAATTGTTTTGAAAACTTTAGTTTTCAAATTTCTGATAATCTGGTTTTTTAGTACAAAAAATGCCACATTAAAATTATGTTAATGGTTTATAAATTTAGATTAAAGGTGGAGTAGTGTTTTATTACTTCATGTGAATACAGGTAGATATGTTTCTTTCAGAAACTAATAAATTTGAACTAACTAAATTTTGATATGAATGAATAAACATCTGTCTGAGAATGGATTTAAACCAGCAATTCTAAAAGACAATTATTTTTAGATTATAAGTAAGCATTCTAAGATATAATAATAATTTTTTACTAGAATGTAATCATAATGGTTGTTTACTCTACAGACTGAAAGTGTTCAGTCTTTTGTAAGGTGCAATATAAAACAGTAAAGAAGATGGCACAATATATCAAACTGATCACCATTTTTAACTTTAGATTATTAAGCAAATATTTTATGAATTTTCACAGTACATTAAAAAGTTATTTCTGATGTATTGTTTAGTTTTAATCATTTTCATTATTAAAAAAGTCAATAACAAAATGCAAATTAACAAATTAATCTTTATTGAACTCATATATACTTTATTATACATTTTCATGGAAAAATGAAAAAGCACAAATTTATATTACAGAAGATTTTTGTGTTTATTAACCATTCATTATGATTCATTACATTTATACCACATGTTGTACAAAGGACTCTTATACACATTGAATAAATTGACACACTCATTTTTTGCATTCACACTTTATTCATAGCTTTTTATTTAGTGATACATTGCACTGATTACCTCCTTTTCTTTCTTTTTACTTGTTTAGTGTTATCCATTTTTTTCACTTGTTCTTGGTTTGTATTGCTTGTAATATGATACTAATTTCTAAGTGATAAAATTGGTCTTATGGGGTTTTATTACTTTTCTGGCTGTTATGTATACATGACAAGGGAAAGTATTGGAATCAAGTCAGATTTGATCCTTGGAGTTCTTTGCAAATCTCCACATTTTTGCAAATCACAAAATAGACTCTGCATCTATTTTGTTTAATATCTCAGGCGGAGTAATGATGATGCAACAAAATTTGGCACAGTAGCTTGTGTATAAGGAGCATTGATGCTATTAAATTTTGTTTATGAAAGTTTGAGGGGTTGATGAGATGGAGGGCATATCTTGAGAGACATCAGACTTACTGATTTTATTTGTTATTAGCATTTGCAATTTTTTTATGAAACTCATCTCTACCCTCAAAATTAAGCCTTTTGTCATTTTATAATAATTAAAAATATAAAAAGTGTTTTTATAACAAAATCTAATAACATATAGCACCCCACACAAATTTATTTGTTTATTATGATTGTATTTAAAAAATAACCTTTATATTATTAATCTCATAACAAACAGAAAAGTTATGCAACTCATTGCTAGTATAATAATATAATAGTCTATCTTCATGTAAATTTTATTAATTTTTTAATGTTTGTATGTTATTACACAATAAATTATAATATTTTTATTATTAATATTGTTTTAATAATGGTGTATTTTATTGTTCAGATGTCACCACTCAACCAAATGACTCACTAGATGCAAGATTATATCCTAGAAACTTGTCAATATCTTTAAGATCTGGTGGTTTCAATAATCTGAGTTCACAAGCAGAATGGTGGGAAGTACAAGAAAACTGCGCAGAATCAAATTATCCTTACTCTTTCTTACGATTTGATAACTGTAATGTTTTGAGAATATTAGCTTTTAATGATAGAGTTTTACCATCAGAACTGTATGTGCTTTCAAAGTATGGGTAAGTATTATATAAGAGCTATTTATTAAAAATGAAAATATATAATGCATATTTTATATTCTTTTGTCATTACAACGTAATTGTAATCAATACTTTAACTCGTAACTGTTACCAACAAATCATTTTTGCACAACTGCTACCAATAGGTCACTGTGACCCTATAAAATGTTTATACAAATGAAGAAATATTTATAGATTTTTTTATTTACCAATGTACAGTGTTGATTATTATATTATAATAATAATCATCATAATAAAAAACAAAACATTATCCTCGATTTTTTCCAAAATTTTTCACCGTCTGCATCAGTAATATATTTGCTTGAAGAAACCAATTTATTTAAAAATTTTCAAATTATTTTGTTACATTAATTGTTTAACAATATAGTTGTTGCATGGGTCAATTATGCAATATTATAATATATAGTAATCTTATTTATATAAGAACGTGATCTGAAAAATTACTTAACTTACATAACTTCAACAGATTTTGATAGATGGGTCACACTGACCATAGATATAATTATCTCAATATCAATAACAAAACAACAACTCAATATACATCTCAAAAAGATGACTGATGCAATAGACCATATCAAAGAATACAACTTCCACACTACTCCATTACTCTTGGTATTATGAATTGTACCTGGTGCTGGGTCACAGAGACCCTGTTGGTAGTGTGAGAATCCAATTATAAGATTAATTTAATTTTCTAAAATCTAAAACTCAATGTAATATTTCAATGTTAAATTGTACGTTTTCCACTTTTTAACGATAAAAGTTGATGTGAACAAAGAAATTCAACTTCCTTTTTACCAATCTACATCCTAAAAGAGATGTCATCATTTCCCATGACAAATTTGTAGCAAAAACAACTCATTATCAGATGACCACAATCTGAACTCCTCATTGGAGAAAATTTTTGAATTTAAAGGTTTTGTGTGCCTGATTCAAGATGAATTCTGCCATTTTCGCCCATTCTCCCAAATTTTTATTTGTACCTAGTCTCCTTCGACTCCCGACTTCCACCTCTCATAAGAATCAAGAAAAAAAGATTGTCTCTTATATTCAGAGGTATTATATCAAACTTTGTGTAAACTCTCTCTCTCTCTCTCTCTCATGAAGGTTAGAATAACTAGAGAATAAACAATTCCTAAATTCTCTAAACTCTTGTATTTCATTTGATTCTTTGCAGACACACTAAGGTGACATATATCAACACTTGGCAACTTATTGACTATTTATTCAGTTGGGCTGAATAAATAGTCAATAAGTTGCCAAGTGTTGATATATGTCACCTTAGTGTGTCTGCAAAGAATCAGCTTAATAACAACAACACGGTTTCATCAGAATCAAAAAAAAAAAATCTTGTATTTCAATTTATTTTTATTAAATTTTGTTGTTTGTTTGTTAATTTGGTCTCAATGTCAGTTCTATTGAAAACAGATGCTTTATCAAAGATTCATGAATCCTCCTTTTTGGATTATTATAATACATATTAAATTGTGAGTTAGGACACGATTAGAACTATCCTAACTGGTGTCAGGAATCCTGATGGAAGACAACGTTTTTACAATCGTCTTGTCTCCAAATTCTTAAATGAGTAAATTAAGACTATTCAATGACAAAGTGAGCAGTTCCTACTGAACTGTAGCCGATTGTCAATAAAAAAAATTCCTATTGACCCCAGCTTCTCACAGTAGCAATTATATCTATCTATCTTCTCAGCAATATTATTATATTAATAAAAAAACACACCAGATTTGTAAATTGCCGAGTTAATTTTCTTTATTCTAACGTTTTCAGCCTATTTGTATAGGCCATCTTCGATTTTAGATTATATTTTGATATATTTATTTTAATTTACATTTTTCATGTTATTGTTAAGTTGCAACACGTTTTTAATATTATTGTTAACTATTTATTTATACACATAAGTTGTTAAAAGTTCAAATTCAAATGAATTTCAAACTATTGGTTCCATTGGAACAATGTTAAAGCCTGAAGATGGCCTATACAAATAGGCTGAAAACGTTAGAATAAAGAAAATTAACACGGCAAATACAAATCAGTTGTGTTTATTTATTAGTAGCAATTATAGTTAATAAATATATAAAACATGTATAATAATTTAAATTGTTCACGTTTTATTAACAAATATTTCATTCTAAAATTATCATAATGAACCTAATTAATTTTTGAATTAATATCATTATCAATAACTAGTCTGAGAAATAGTAAGTTAAACTGAATGTTGTAATATAAGAAGAATAGAATAAAAACATTTAAAAAGTCACAATGGAATTTGAGGCTCATGAGTACAAGAAAGATTAAAAGTTTGAAACAAAAGGCACAATAGAAGTCTCAAAACATTTTCAAACGACCCTCCTCAAAACATTTGAGGAGGGTGGTTTGGGTCCACAAAGGGTTGAAATTAGACTCTGACTTTTGTGGTCAACTTTGTGGAGCATCTACATTTTGTGATATCTTGTTGGTACTCTACTAAATGATTTATCAGCATTCTGACTGTAGCACTGATGTATTGTTTTCCCCATTGTCAGGTGCAAAAGGGGTACAGCATAAACCATTTCTTGAGAAGAGAGAGCCTGTCCATATCATTACAGATAAGCCTGCTTAAAGTTGGCTGTGGAGAGAGAGACAAGATGAAGCCATGTTTTTTGAAGATGTGGCAAATGTGTATGGAAAGGGGACCAATATATGAAATTGGCAACAACACCCAGCTCAACTGTTTTTACTTTCCTTGCTGTTATAACAGAGGGAAAGTATGGCAATCCAGCAAAAATAACCCCCCCAGATTTTTACGTTTTTGGACTTAGGACACCTTGAAATGTCAAGAAATGCAAAAAAATTTGTGGGTAATTTCTGTGTTTGTAGAGGCACAGTTTTGTTTACCCACTTTGAAGCTTAATGACTCCTGTGCTTTTTGTTGAAAATTTCTGAAATTTTGCAATGTGGTTTGTTTAGTAATGGATTGATGCTATTAATTTTGGTGGTTAAAGGTTGAGGGGTTGAGGAGATAATGGGGGCCATGTGTATCTCCAGTAGGGCCAGACTTAATGATGATTTTATCTGTTATTAGCATTTACATTTTTTTATAAAACCCATTCCTATCCTCAAAATTAAGCTTTTTGCCATTTTATAGAATGAAAAAATAGCAAATTTTTAACCTTTGTAAGAACATAGTAAAACATAGCAGATGAATTTATTTCATTTCTACAGTAATTTTTTTACTATGTTTTTTGCTATTTAAGTAGAAAATTCAATGCAGAGTTAAAATAGGTGAATTGATTATCATCAGAATTCTTTTTTATTTAAAATGATTAATAATTTCAAAAGAATGTATAAGATATAAAGATAATCATTGAAAGTAATATATAAGATGACATAAATATACATTGCTTTAAATCGCATAAATCAAGAAATATTTAAGCATTATTTCTGAGTTATCTTTGAACCTAGTTACTTACTTACCCATTACTTAGACCCATTACTTACTTACTTGCAAACTTCACTTACAAATTCATTACATAAATGTATTTTAAATAAATAAATAAATATATATATATATATATAGGTTTATGTATGTATATATCATTATATATAATTTGTTGCACATATAATATAAAAAAACAAATACATACATGCATTCTCTTAACTATTAATTTAAATGAACATAAATAATAATAAATATTTATTTTAACAAGTATTGCATATTCTATTTTTTTTTTCTATTATGTTATGGTATGTGATAAAGATTATATATGAATTGAAAACAGTTTTATATTTTATATAAAACTGTTTTCAATTCATATATAATCTTATAGAAAATTTTATAGACTTTTAAGATATGCACTATTTATTTGATGTATCTCATCTTATATAGAGCAAGTCTTTTGAAATAGTTGATTTCAAAGAATGCTCTACATAAAATTATAAACAGAAAATATCTTAATAATAATTTAATGAAATATTTCATTTTGTTATTTTAAATGTAGTTTGGATGATTTACATTTTATGTTGTCTTATTTTAATATACTATGACATAGGTTGGATGATATTATATAGGCATCAACTAAATGAATTAAATTCAAAATTTAAAAAATCGTTGAAGAGTAACATAATCTATAGTAACAATTTTTTCGTATACAGTATGTTTCATAATTTAATTATTATTATTTTTAGAAATTATATTGTTTTAGAACTTACTGTTGTAGATTTGTTTATTATATTAAATTATTTATTTATTGTTAATCACTGTTCAAATTTATATAAATGCAAAATTGTAATTTTAAAATGTTACTTAATTTTAGAATCGTTGGATTGTATACAACCTTTGTATTGTTGGTTTCTCGACTGATACGTAGTTTTGTGGCTGGATCTTCATTTACGATTATGTTCGATGACATGCCTTATGTTGACAGAGTATTGCAGCTTTGTTTGGACATTTATTTGGTTCGTGAAAGTGGAGAATTTTCTCTTGAAGAAGATCTATTTGCAAAATTATTGTTCCTGTATCGTTCACCAGAGACACTTATTAAATGGACTAGATTTCCTGAACGGCAACAATAGTATATATTTAATTTTGGGTAAGCATTAGCCAGAAAAAAAATCTATACTTTATCTTATTTGTAAAATTGATTTTTATTTATATATTTAAAGTGATATACTTCAAGAAATGTGCATCAGTTCTTGTAGTTTATTTAGGCCAGCTTTTGCACATATCTCCTCATGTATGATGTAATGAAAAAAACCTGTTAGTGGATGACCAACATATTTTGTAAAAAGCTTTACAAATCCTTCTTCATTACCAATTATGCTGGGTGCACCATCAGTTCTGATGGTTACACTTTTGAAATATCAATTTGTCAAATAGATAATTCATTCAAGTAATATGCTCAGGTAGTGTTATAAGATTAATAATCTCTTCATATAGTTCATCAAACCTACAAAATGGAGCAATGATTCCTAGCCTAGCTGATAATGTAATGTCTGTGCTCTCATCACTACATATAGAAAAGAACTTATATGAAACAAATCTTTTGTTAGTTGCTCTGCTGTATTCCTTTTCAATTTAAGTATATTATCCTGAACTGTTTTTTATTCTCAGACAAATATTTAATCTACTAAATTATTTTTTCCTTATCTGAAAGATTGTCTAAAAGGAAAATTCTTTTTAATACACTCCCTATCAATGAATGGTTTTCTATGTTATGCAATAACTTTCAAAACCTCAAAACAACAGCAATTATGTTGGAACTAACTGAAATCAATTTCATCAAAGTATTGGGCTGCTTTTTAGTACTGTTCAGTTCATGAGAAATTAATTCTCTTTATTATTGCTTAAGTTCTTATGAACAGTTTCAAAATGTCTCTTTACATAAAAGGCTGTGGAAATCACAATAACCCATAGTGAGACTATTGCGCGGATGTGTAGGTCTGATTACCAAAGATAAGAGAGACAATGAATAAAGTCACTTAAAATTAAGTTTATATACAAATTATATACAAAAATTTACAAATTGTACACTAAGCCACATATAGAGACACCTATGTACCAAACAAATTTGTCTGTATGCTATCGTCTATACATTTGCCTAGTTTTTTTATTTTATTTAATAGCATACAATAAATCTGTTAGTTATGGTATCATGATATTAAGAATTTTTTATTTATTTTTTAAACATAGACCTAGATACCTTAATAAAGTAACACTAATAGCTTTAGAATTGAAAGGCATTTTGCCTTTGATATCATCTTATTCCTTTTCAGTGTTTTCTTCACACAAACAAATGGTAATCCTGAATTAGTGACAGCAGAATAACTAAGATAGTAAAGACTCTGGGGAGATCTGAAAATATAGGTCAAATCCTCACAAATTTTCATGGGTGATTTCATCTGGATATGTAAATTCCTGTCTGTTACTATTTGGTCATACACAAATGCAAAACGAAGTAGTAAAATGCTCTTTGTACCTGTAAGATAGAGAGAATGAATTGTTTTCCAGTATCAATTTATGATTGGAGAAATATTTTTATTCTCTTAATAATAATTGCTTTTTAATTGCAGGATTTTAATATCAAAATTTAATGGCTTCAACTGAAAATTGTTTTTCACCAAAGTCAAGAGGGTTTACAGAAGATATTTTTACATCTGAAGTTTCAAGTGTATATTTTTGAAGTAATGATGTTCTTTGAAGAAAGTGAATAGTGTGGTTTGCTAGTATTAATATATTGACATAATTATATATAAAGACTGGGATATTTTATCTTTTGAACTCTATATTCCCTATTGTACAGTCTCAATTTTATAATTTATCAAGGGTCAAAGCAGTTTGCAGGTATTGATAAAACAACAATAATAATTTCCTGCCAATTTACAGCTTCTATGCAATCATCCAGCAGGATATTTATATAAAGCTGAGTTTTTCTTTGAAAAATTTTGTAATTATGTAAACTGATTTTTATTTGTAGCATATTTTTATATAGTCGGATATTTGAAACAATTCTTTTAATTTAATAAGTCTTTTTGAAATCAGTTATTATAATAGAGAAACATCGTTTTTGGAAGAAGGAACACAAATCATGCCACAAACAAATAATGAATTCAAAGTGTATAGAGTCATCTCTATAACAACTTATGTATACAACAAAGAAAAGAAAATGAAAATAAAATTACCTTGTAAATTTGTAATTGTTATTTTAACATTCCTTTATTTATTAAATAATAAAACAAAAACTGAATTTAATATACATATTTAAATAAAAAAATTTTGTAATGAATGTTGCTGCATCAGAAGAGTATTGGAATTAGCCGTATTTCAATCAAAACTTTAAAGTGAGATTAGCCATTATGCAGTTTATGCATTGGTATTTTTCATTATGTTTATAACTTTATAAATAGTCTAATGTTGAACATCATAGATAGTGTTTACACAATGTTATATTTTGAAAATGAGATTGTTAATAATGATCAGTAATTCTAGGCCACTCACCTTGCCTTGATCATACCAGTATATCATAAATTTCCTTATTGGATCCAGCATGTGTTTCTTTGATAATCTTAAAGTACTGTATAAAATTAGAATCTGAAAATACAAATACATATCAGCTTCTATTAATTTAATTATGATATTTAATTTAATTTAGTTTGTGTTTTTACTTTAGTATATCTTGAAATAACACAGATTGCCCGTGTCATGTTAATTCATTTTCATTATTTGAAGAACTCTTGCAAACATGAGTGTATGGGGACACTTTGGTTAAGGAGGCAAAGGAACTTTACATTAAAATAAAGTACTAAGTTTTAATTTACCAGCATTGATAATGTGTTAATGTTTTTACTTTCTCTGATTTATTTTGTTCTTGTTTTGCCTGAATTTGGGAGACAGCTGCCTTTCTTGCTCACCATTTCATAAGACCATGCTCACAAACATTGGAACACAAATTGTTAAAATTGTTTAATACGGTGCTCTGCAACCTTTTCTCACACATGACACACTTAGATACTTACCAGAATTCCATGACATACTACAAGTAAAAATTACAAAAAATGTGGGAGTTACAAAGTACAGTAAATACCAAAAAAGTACTGATTTATTTATTTTTTATTTGTAATAATATAAAAATATTTCAAACAAACAATTGATTTTCTTATTTTGATTTTATTTATTAATAATTTATTTAATGTAAAATATATGTGCTTCACATCAAATTAGTATTGTCTTGCCCCTGTATATCATACTTTTTCTGTTAGCAATGGAGTTGTGCCAATCATCTAACAGTTTTCAGGAGAAATTTTTTGAATTGAAATAACATAACTTTTGGTATATACTGGAAGTTCATATACAGTTAATCGGGTCCTCCTGCTCGTAAGCTTTCCATATCTGATCTTGATTATTTAATCTTAGGTGCAAAAAGCAATTTCTGATTAATTATGATGTCTGTGCCAATCCTTGGATAACATTAACTATTAAAGTGATATCTTTTTAAAATTAAAAGACATCTATTGCAGGTTATAGAATTAAAATAAGCCAACAGTTTTAAAATATAATTTAAATATTATTTTATTCTGTAATATTTTAAGAAATATTTTGAAAATAGCAGGACAACAAACTCCTCTTTTCTTCAAATAAATGCTTTTGAATAATAATCTAGTGAAATTGGGATTATGAAAAACAACTGTTTAGGATTTAAATAAATCACTTAATTAAATTTTTTGATGAGTTAAAATGTAGAGTACATTCACTTAAAAAGTAAATACTTGGCTCTACTAGCTAAGTTCTTCAAAATGATTTATTATAATCAAGAAAAAATTTACTTTTTGTGATATTATTTTAATGTATATAAACGTGTTTAATGTATTTTTCTTTAAATTACATTCTTTCAATGCAAATTTGTAATGAAAATTAAAAATTTACTTCCATAATGCTCTCATAATTAAAATATATAAATTAATTTAATTGTTGATTTGATTTAATTCTTTGTTTTCATTTTTCGCTTATCCTGCATTAATACAATTTATTCAACAAGAAGTTTTCTAATATTTATTTATATATTTGGAATACAGTTAAGATTTGGAATATGATTATATTCAGGAAGAAGTAATGAAAAACTAAAAATTTTTCATAACTACATTCAGTTTTACAAGATTAAAAAAATTACATAGAAAATTAAAAGAATAACATTACATACAGATTACAAAAAGATCTTACTTAGTCGTAGGTCTTATTTTCATTTCGGTAAAGGATAATGAATAAGTATATCCTTTCCAGGTATACCAGTTAATGCCTTTGCCATACATAGTATATGGACCATTCAGATTAAGACCATTCAAATTAGAATAATGGCAGGCATAATACCACCACGCGCCTGTATAATAATTGGCACAATTGTATCCTGAATAATCATTATCTCTATCTTTAGTGGTGAATTTCAATCCATTATGACCCGATAATGAATCACCTAAAATAAGAAGGTTGATTATGTTTTAAATATTAGAAGTATAGTCTATATAATAAAATAATTAAAATGAAAATTACCACTATTTCCACTATAATTGCTGACATATAATTTGTACTGTTCACTTTCACTTCCAATTGAAAATTTATGATATTGAGCAAACTTCCTTTCTCCTTCCATGTCTTTCATATCGATTCTGAGAGAATAACTGTCTTGGTTAGTTAAATCGTGCAGTAAATTGTTGCCTGTTAAAAATTTAAAATGTATTTAACATATTTGAAAATAGTTTAATTAAAACGTTACAAATTTCCATAATAATTTTACCTATCCAGAATTCTCCATTTAAGCTACCAAATCCTTTAGCATAACTGTCCCAATCTCTAAAGAAATAATCGTTTGGATTTCCATACTTGCCCCTTCTCTGAATTACCTGTAAAATTTTTAAAATATTATATGTTACAATTATAAACTATGATAATTCACGGACCAATTTGCAAAATCCTTTAGAAATTATCCTGAAGGATTTGGCAGATTAAGATGAGAATTTTAAAATCATTGGCATAAACTTGGGCATAAAAATCTAAAGAGTTTCATAAAAAAAAAAGTTCAAATTAAACTTACTATCCAACCACCTCCATCTGTTTCCATATCGCAATAAACTTGCTGTGGCTTATTGAACTTCATGCTATTTCTTAGATAAATTTCATAAACACCAGATTTAGTAACACCATTTTTCTTCAGTTCTGCACAATCTTTCGCTTGTTGTTGGCGATATTCAAAGCATTGTGATTTCGAAAACAGTTCCATAACTATTGATTAAATTGATTAATTTTAAACTGATTAATCTGCCATGGAAAAATATTTATATACTCACGTTCGTGGATATATTTGTCAAGTTGTAAGAGTCTGCTCCGAACAACCGAAGCATCTTGTTCAGGAGGTGACTGTCCACCTCCTGTCCACTGTCCAGCAAGGCCTTTCGTATTAAAAAGTAGAAAACAACATGCGTACAAGTAAACAAATGCTTTCATCTTTGATCAAGTTTTGATAGCGAGTGCTCAGTGAAGAAAAGAGAGTGCTCTTAAATAGGAAAATGAAAGGAAATGAAAATAGTCCGCTAGAAAAAGATAAGTCTAGTAAATTAACCAATTACTTAACATAATTTTTAATGTTTTTTTTAATTGTTTCGTCGATAAATCGTATATTTAAATCATATCTTTTAGCATTAAAGAAATGTATTTAATTTTTTTTAAATTATAAGTAAAATAAAATAAAATATTTTTTAACTTGTATTGTCTCAAGTTTTATTATAATGCAAGAATTTCTGATGAAAAATTTAAAGATTATAGAAATATATAAAATGCTAAAAATATAATATATTTAAGTCAGAGTTTTGCTATTTATTATTCAAATATATACAAATTCTTTTATTATTTCTCCTCTCTCTATACAGTATATATATATATATATATTTCATTTCATTATTATCCAATTTAATCGATAAGTTTTAAATATGAATAAAATATAAATTTTAAAAATGAAAAATATAATTAAATAAAATTTTGCAATCCATTTATAATATCTTTAATTATTACAATTAAAAGAAACTGTTTGATACAATAGTAATTTTGTGTATTAATTTAAGTTTTAGGATATACGTTGACTTTATATTATACTGTAATTTTCCAAAAGTATACTTAAATTAATTTTTATTTTATTTTATTTAAGATACATTAAAATTGATTAAGATACTGTTTTATTATATTAATTATATATAAATATCTTGGTAGTTCGAATTTCAGACTCACTTTTTATGTTTTCGAAGTTTGACATTTTTGTCACTTTTCAAAAATTTATGTAAGGATTAGGGATCGCCCATAAATTTTTTAATATTTTTATAAATAATATTTTTATACTTTTCAATTATTATTCCATCTCCTTAATGCCCCGTAACATCGTCGCACATACCCACCCTCGAAATTACGTAACGCATAAATCTTTGATCTCCCTCTTACCTGTATTAAGTAATACTGTAATACAAAGCACGCGGTATCGAACGTTACATTATTTTATTAATTATATGTATAACGTATAAAGAAGTGACATAAACAGTAAGGTTTATAATGCAGCATTTCAGAATGAAAAATGAATCGTCGTGTCACCCGAGGGTCCAGACCCTAACACTACGTGACGTTTTGATAAACACCCCACTCCCTTGTAACGCATTGTAACGATTACCTGCATACACACTTATTCATATCTGCGTTACGTAATTTATGGATATTTCCTTCATCTTTAAAGTAACTCGTTTTTTATTCATCATAATTACAAATTATAATGATAAACGTGTTCCCTAGGAGACCTTTAATTATTGATATTTGAAAAGCAGTATCTATTACACAAGAGCCCATACAGTATTTTGATCCGGCATTGTCTGTATATAACTAGAATTTTACTATATTTCTAGGACATTTTGCAAGTAAAAAAAAAATACTGATTTGAATCACAAAGATTGGGAAATACATTATTTATCGGAATTGGGAAACGTATATTTTGTATACTGAATTTCTATCCGGCATTGTCTGTATATAACTAGAATTTTACTATATTTCTAGGACATTTTGCAAGTAAAAAAAAAGCTGGGCCACATTAATTTGATGTCCTAACTCATTTAAAAATATAATAAAAGTTTTAATAAACATAATTTGATTTTTAAAAATGAGATACTTTTCTTAATGCCATAAATGAAATGAATAATTTGTATCAAATGTTTTAGAAGCACTAAGCCAAGTAGTATTGCTTCCCTATGTTAGGGCCTAAGTATTTTATATTTAAATTTTAATTAAAATTTAATAGACTTATTCTCAATATAAGTTAGTTAATTTAATAGTTTAAAAGCATTTTTTGGGTATTTAATAATTCAGAATCTCAAAGTTTACAGTTTATTGCACTCGAAAGTCCAATAACCTCTTATATTCCGGAAAATAAAATATAAAATTCGTGACACCGGACATAAGAATTAAATTAACCGGATAAAAGTTAAACTTTCCCTAATCTATGGTATCATTTTTAAAAAACTTTTTATTCGGTTTGATCATTAATTAAAATATTGAATAAATTAATACAATTATTCTTTTCGTAATACTCATTATCATAAAAATAAAATAATTTGGTTTCATATTAAATTGTACTAAAATAATTTACCGAAGCTCTAATTAATTAATTGATATTCAGTAAATTCAAAAGGAAGTAAAATACCAGATAAAAATTATCTTTCCTTCCACTTTTTTTTTTTTTTGGTATCTTTTTCGTTATTTAAATACTATAAATTTATTAATAATATAATTATAGAACTTTTTCAAATGATATTAGTAGTCGAACCTGCAATAACGGCCACCTCCGAACGACGGACATTTTTATGTTCCCGTCAGTGGCCGTTGTTTAGAGGTTTGACTGTATAGCTGTATATACTATATGTAGACCATATAAATTCGTCATGTAGGAAAAATTCTGCGGTTACTTATATGAACATAGGAACTTTATCGTCAAAATATAGGCCTAAATGCTGTATATATTAATTATGTATATAGATAATATATGTATATATCTTTTATAAAACGTTTCTTGTAATTAAGGAAAAAATAGTTAAGTAATAATAATTAAATTAAATCAGTTGTATTCCATCGAATATTTTTCATGAAAATTATAACATTTTGTGAATATAAATTTTATGGAGTTTTATGAAAAATAAATAGTCATGTTTTTAAAATAAATTCTATAAACTGTGTAATACATTAAAAAACGTTTTTATTGGTTGTTTTACACGCAGACAAGATTAAATTCTATTTTACGTTTGGTTTTGTTTATCGGATCTCTGCATGGAGAGGATGATGATGATAGGATCGCCCATAAAAACATCATTAAAAATTCAGTATTTTTTCCTAAAAACGTTTGTATTAATAAAATATAAGAATATGTGACCATTGTAATTTAAATTTATTTGTCGGATTTCAAAGTGTCAGCTTTCTGTCTTAATTAGAATGGATGAAATGTGAGTTGTGAGATTTAAGGACATGATAAAAAGCAAATTAAATAAAAGCCTTTTAAAAAATCAAAAATTCTCATGTTATAAAATTCATGAATAAATTTTAAATCGAATTTTGACTCCAGGTTATTACAGCAAATTGCTTTTTAATTTTTAAATATAAGGTAGCCTTTTTCTTTTATAATTAGTATAAATTTTATACTAATTATAAAAGGGCTTAGAAGTGCTTAGTATGAAATGCATTATTCGTTTGGCTATGTAGTATCTTACCATTTGAGTGCTTTATTTTTTTTTTTTTCTTTCTTTGTATGTGCGGTATGGTAGAGTTAAATTATTTCCAAACAGGTAGGAATGTAATCAAAGTTTATGACAGAACTTACGGGAAATATGACGGCGCACTTTACGATGGTTTGTTTAATTAATGGCGGTTTTCTATTAACTAAGTACTCGTAGATAGTACGATAAAGGCAGGGAGTTTGCTACTATATTTTATTATATGTTACTATATTCAGTATCCAGAATTTTGAGAATATGGGCGCTGTTCAAGGCGGATGGACCAAGGCATGTTTTCCCTGTTGTCTTTCGGAGAATATTAATTTATTCACCTACTCTTACCCAATTGAAATCGTGAGATACATGTTATTGGGCTGCAATTTGAAAACATTGTAGACCCATAAATTACCACTGTCGTCCGGCCGTCTGTCTTTCTTAATCTCGAGAGCGGAGTTAAATATATGAGAGACGAAACCATATATGGAAACTATGGGGACAGGAGGCCCCGATTAACTATTTAAAAACTTCCGATTTATATCGGAAGTTCTTATATAGTTACGTTATTTAAATTCAAAAATTTTTCCCTGAAAGGTGTTAGATGCTGGCACGATGCCATTGCTAACGGAAAAGTATGTTGTGCACTACGATACTAATTTGAGGTGGAGGGCATATATTTTAAATTAAATAAATTAAAAATTGCAGCCCGGCATTGTGACGATGTCACAATAATTACACACACATCACAATAAATAATTATATTTATTTTCATTTTAAAGTAACAAAACCGATTGCTTTGGTATCAAAGGGGTGCTTTATGATGCACTTTCTTAATACAGTGGGTGATCGGTTAACGAACATAATCCGTTCCAAGACTTTGTTCGCTATCCGAATTGTTCGTTAACCGATTATCGATTTACCATAGGTTTCTATGGGAATTTGATTAATTCGTTCTGGAGACCCCCAAAAATAAAAAAAGTATATACTTTTTTACTACGTTTATTCATATGTAATAATAAAAATACATATATACACGGTCTTGCATTTTTATTAGTCATGTTTTTTCTGTTTGTGGGGGTTAAAGAATCTGTCCAACGTCGATCGCTTTTCTGTCTTATTCATGATTTTTCAGAAATAACTAATAGCATTGTAATTGTAGAGATCCCTAGGCCTATTAACCTCAACTTGGTTTGGATGCCATTTTAAGACCGTTGTTTTGACATCTTCCTACTTCTTCAAAAGATCTTTAATAGCAGATATCGGCATAAATCCGCATTTTCAGAAGAAAACGTAAAAGAATTGTTTCTGTCAGAAATACAAAAGGCTGGAATTACAAGGGAGAGTTTCAAAGTTCGGGGGAATACTATCCGATCAGTATATACTGGGTAGAACGTCGATGTCGACGTCTCCTGCGCTCCGAAAAGTTTCGAATTGTTGCCTGAAGACAAAGGAAGACCAATCGGTATTCGTTATTTTACGTCGCTTCTTGTGTTTGTTCAGTGAAGTGTTCGTTATCCGATCATAAAAATCTTTCGCGAAAGTGTTTGTTGTCCGATTTGTTCGTTAACCGATCACCCACTGTACGTCCTTGACTACATCCTAATAAGTTTATATCACCAGAAGACGGGAAATGTAGAAAATTAAGAGAAGTCATCTCAATGATATTAACTACTGTATTGAAAATGCATTGTTAATTTATTGTGTATAAAGTAAGGAATTGATCATAAAGAACTTTCGGTTATCGGTATATAAAATATATTATTTATTAAAATCTTATTTAATCTAGTTAATCTTACTTAATCTAGTTTAAAGTGCACATATATATTCAAAAT